GCATAGGAACGCATTAAACGTGTTTTAATGTGTTCTTATGGACTTTTTAGCCCCGCATAGCGACGAATCCACATAGCGACGATTTTTTCAGAATGGATTATCATTGCTATGTGGGGCACCACTGTACAACAATTGCAAGTTTGTGTCATATGAACCATTGTCTTCTAATATCAAGTCCCTTGCTTCATGACCATGAAGGGATTAATACAGTGGTGATGGCTTTGTGGTTTCTGTATCCCTTTTCTTTTCCTGAAAACTATATGAGAAATAAAAATAGAAATGTGCATTTTGCACAGAGCAAGCAAAATCATACTGCGTTTCTACTGACTGACTTGAATGAAGTAAAACTGAATACATCTCAGGGTGAGTTATGATACTTCCCACCTGAAAAAGATGGATAGTTCCCCTCTTTTCCCAGCAGATGGTGATTTTTCAATAAAAAACCCTGCAGTTAGGCTGCCATCCTCAGCTACATCCTTCATTAAAATAAGAATATGCCAGAATTCAGCATGACTCACACCTTTAGGTTAGGGGTGCACAACCTCCAAATGTCTGAGAGCTGCCCATAACCACCCTAGGGCCTTGAAAGGCCACCTCTTCTTCTGTATCCTACCCACATTTAAAAAATTAAAAATAAAAATGGGCCCTTTTGCTTACTGAAGAAGCCTCCTCACATCACCCAGTGCCCAAAATGTTGGGGTATGGAGGCAGGACATGGATAGCAGGCCTCCTCAAACATGGCAGAATTGCCTCCCATGCTTGCAGAGGGCGTGAGGATTTATCAACTCATTAAAAATGTCATGTTGCAGTGGTTTGGGCTGGGGTCCCATACTTGGGCCCCCAGGGTTGTGTGTGGCTCACAGATCATACTTTCCCCATCTCTCCTTTAGATTTTCCTTTGGTGTCCAGTCCAACAGGGTTATTCTGTTAATAGAACTGGCCCAGAAAAACAGGAAGAACTGATCTGCTCCCCCCCATACCCCCCAGTAGTTTCTGTGAGTCCTTAAATTTGCTCAAAGTGGCTGGTAGCCATCAAGAGCAGGTTTTTGGATGACTTAGAGGGCTGCAGGGGAAGATGAATAAAACCCTCTTGTGCTTCAATGTCCTTTGGGTGGCAGTTGTTTTGATAACCAGTTTCCCTTCTTTTATTGACCTCTTGCCCTGTTTTCATCTTTACTTAGGCACCTCATAATGTCAACCCCTCAATAAACTTTTTTTTTGGTTGTGTCAGGTTATCTTGCCTTGCCTTGCCTTGAGGAGACACTTCTCAATTGACGTTTAAAGCCTCCGAAGATTCCTTGCTTCCACACCAGATCAAGACAATAAGAACCATTTTGCCTCGTCAGAGGTTCCGCAATTTGTGCAAATAGTCTCCACATGTCTTTCTCTTTGAAAAGCAGATTGTACACACAGAGGCAAAGCACAAGCATGGCCCAACTATTAAGAGAAACAAAACAAAATGGAGACAGATGGACCCCTCCAATATGTTAGAAGTTCAGGCAACAAAGCATCAGCCAGTACAGATTGTTAAAACATTATTTGTGTTATTTGCACAATTAGTTTTATTGGGTGCAAAAACAATTGCTTTTGTCTCTTCCTTTGTCAAGAAGCTTGGGGTGGCGGTGGCGGTGGCAATGAGGATAATAATTTTGCAGTTTCTGGTCTTCACATGTGAGGATAAGAGAAGCAAGGATTTACATCCCTGCTAAGCAGAAGTCTCTAATTCAGTGATATTCTGCTCTGTCTGTAGCAGGTTATCTATAGGGCACCCCAGTGGCTGCAGCACCATGGAAAGCTCCAAGTGTGTAACTTGAAGAGAAGCCTTATAATAAGTCCATCCTTGCATTGTACTTCTTCCAGTGTCTGAAAAACACAAATTCCTAAAGGGGCAAACCATGGCCCAAAGACCATCACTCTCTTTCTTCTGTCGCCTTGTGCCTGGCATGCTCCTTGCACCGTTGTGCAGGCCTGGTAGAGTGGCAAGCATTTAACTTCTCAGGTGAATCCTGCCCAGTAAAGGTTTCTGGGCTCAGATTTTTTCAGAGATACAAATTCATCAGCAGGAACTCTGACCAGTTTCTCAGCTTAGTGGTCTTGGTGTCAGCTAGCTCATCCTCCTTTGATTCTGACCCAGAGCCAGGAACCTTGCACAGCTGTCACCCAGACTCTCCCATATCAACAGGGTGCTTAAAATATAAGTTCAAATAGCAAGCAGGCTTCTGTGAACTGCAGCCTTACTAGGCCAGCCAAAAAGGCAGAAAAAAGTGAACAAGCTTTCAAGATGCTTGATTTCCTCATAAGGCAAATATGTAACAGAAGCAGACATGGTGGGGCGAAGGAAAGGAGAGAGAAGTTTGACCTTATGTCCTTGTTGTCTTCAGAGGTAACGGAGGGGGAAGGCTATGCAGGAAATCAAATGGGGGGCACATGGTATTAGAATTCACTCAGTAGCCTAATGGAGAGTCACAAAATGAGCTTTGCCCTCCATCTTAGCTCTGAGTTCACTGTGAGGATGTCTGTCTCTGTGAGAGATCACAGTCTCTTTTCCTTTATAGTTGCAGGTGGAGAGGTATTCTCACAAATGCTTGCTTTCTGCTTCCATTTCACACTGATCTAACAGGCCTCTCAGTCCTTCAGAGCATCTTGGGAGGGGAAGCATAAAAGAGTGACAGGAAGAAAGGGGAAATCTATGGTATTTTATATATATTATCTCATTGTGTTTTAACCTATGTAAGCCACCCTGAGTAGACATTGTCTAGATGGGCGGGGTAAAAATCGAATAAATAAATAAATAAAAAATATGTATATCACTTCTTGTTTTTCCACTGAAGGATACATGTTGTATGAGCAGAACTCTCCACAAGGGGATGTTTCTGGTAATTAGACAAAACTCTGGATGCCAAGTATAACATCTTGGCCAAGACTTTATATATATATATATATAAAACCCACAGGTATTGGTTAACTTTTTTTCCCCTGAAAATGAAAGTCTTTGCCTGATAAGAGAAGGGCAGCTTCCAAGGGCAGCATATTTCAAAGCCTGGGAAAGTCACTGAGAAGGTCCTCTCTTGTGTCCTCACCAAATGAGGATGGGAAGGTGGTGAGACACAGAGAAGCCACCCCTTCAACAGAAGTTCTTGAAGGCTGAGGAGACTGGTATGGGATGATACAGTCCTTCAGATAGCCTGGATCCAAGCTGGATAGGATTTTATAGGTCCTATCCACAACAACCATCATAACTAACACTTTGAATTGGCCCTGGAAGCAGGTGGCAGCCAGTGAAGCTACTGTCACAGTGGGGCTACGTGATCTCTGTAACCAGCACCAGTCTGGTTGCAATATTCTGAACCAGCTGATGTTTCTGAACACTCTTCAAAGCAGCCACACATGGAGCATATTGTCGTAATCCAAACAATATGTAACTAAGAGATGTGCATGTGTCACCCTGGCCAGTTCAGACATCTCAAGGAATGCACGCAGCTGGTGCGTCACCTTTAACTGTGCAAATGCACTCCTGACCACCACAGAGAGCTGTACTGTACATCCAAACTCAGTGTTGAATCCAGGAGCACACCATGCACTCCTGACCACCACAGAGAGCTGTAATCCAAACTCAGGGTTGAATCCAGGAGCACACTGAGCTGCAAAACTGACTTTTCAGAGTGTAATCGTATCCAATACAGGCTGATCCCCTCTTCTCTGACTTGCCTTTTGCAAAACTACCACAAGATTAATTAAAACTTGGATTTTTCAGTACAGTTTTGATCCAGCTGCTTCTCTAAGTTTATGTGTTATAATATGACAGAGAAATAGAAACCATACTAGACCAACCAAAAGCAAACAATGGAGCCTGAAAGCTTTGCAGATCACTGACCTCTTCATCAGGCAAGACGCTAACAAAAGTAAGCATGACGGGGAAGGAAAAAATCAGGAGAAGGCTCAATCATTATTCCTTGTAGTCTGCATGTTACACAGAAATGTCAGGGAGGAGGTAGGCCATGCAGAAAATCAAATGGGGTACATCTGGTCGAGGGCACATTTGGTGAGCAAATGCCAAACTGGTTATTACTTCTAAAACCCTAAGGAGATTGGGAGTATGACATTCAGTAGTCCATTGTGTTCTGTATGATCCTGCCCATCCAATGAGGTGAGCTAAGCAGGCTGTGCTGCATGTTCCATCCCTTTTGGAGGAATGGCTGCTGGGGTCATGAACTGGGCCTTGTTTATCATGGTGCTCTAATCTGTGGAACTCCTTGTCTTAGGAAATCGGATCGATCTCATCCCTTATGCAGAGATGAAAAATATGTGGTCCTCCTTAGATTGCTGAACTTTAGCTCTCATCATCCATCAGTGGCTATACTGGATAGGGCAGACTGATGGAAGGAAAATGCGTAGCCATCCAGATGTCAGACTGCATCTCCCATTAGCTGTCATCATGGTTAAGCTGGCTAGGAGTGGTGTGAGTGGCAGACAGACAACACCTGGAGGGCCATATGTTCCCTACCTCTGCCGCATGGTCTTCTGCTACCAGACTGTAATAGTTATATTTTTTAAACAAGGTTTATAGTTTGTCTGGCTTCTAAGTTCTGTTGATAAGTGGTGTGTGTGTGTGTGTGTGAGAGAGAGAGAGAGAGAGAGAGAGAGAGAGAGAGAGAGAGAGAGAGAGAGAGAGAGAGAGAGAGAGAGAGAGAGAGAGAGAGAGAGAGAGAGAGAGAGAGAGAGAGAGAGAGAGAGAGAGAGAGAGAGAGAGAGAGAGATCTGTTTTTCCCTCTTTGCTATCTAAACACTTTGATTTACTGTAGGATTGTTTATGGTTTGTAGTGTTTTGTCTGTTGACCACCCCTTCAAGGTAAAAAAAGTGTAAGAATAAAAATAAATACATTTGTTTTCCTTTTTTTGAACAAGCTAATGACTACCTTGTCTCTCTTTCTGCCTCCCCTTCTCTCTCTCCCTCTCCTTCTCCCCCCCCTCTTTCTCTCTGTTCTTTATCTATTTTGAAGGTTTCCATCTGTATCACAAACTGCCACACATTGTTCCTGAGAGCTGCCTTCTCATTCTGGTTGGATTGATTCTAGGTGGCATTATCTTTGGAGTACAAGAAAAGTCTCCACCGGTGATGAAGAGTGATGTTTTTTTCTTGTACCTTCTTCCCCCGATAGTCCTGGATGCCGGCTATTTTATGCCAACCCGCCTGTTCTTCGAGAATTTTGGTACAATTTTCTGGTATGCAGTGGTGGGCACTCTCTGGAATTCATTTGGCATTGGCCTTTCACTCTTCGCCATATGCCAGATCGAAGCGTTTGGCCTGAGTGATATCACTCTACTGCAGAGCCTACTCTTCGGCAGCTTGATTTCAGCCGTGGATCCAGTGGCAGTGCTGGCTGTTTTTGAAAACATTCACGTCAATGAGCAGCTGTACATCTTAGTTTTTGGGGAATCACTCTTGAATGATGCTGTAACAGTGGTAAGTTTCTTTGAAAACAACTCTTTGTGATGTTGAACTCTTCGTACTTCTCACATTTCTTTCAGCAAGAAAACTGAGTAAAAGTACAAAGCAGAAATGCTATCGTGCCTAGGGTTGCCAGATGTCAGGCAAAAGGAGGACATGTCCTCCTTTTTAGCCTAATGTCCTCCGTCAGGCAGGCAAAGATAAAAACCTTTAAAATGTCAGGCTTTTGTATATTTTATGTTATAATTTTGGATGGGAGGGGGAGAGGGGAAGGACCCCCTTCCCCCTGGCTTTCCCTGCCCCCACCTGCCCGCCCACCCCCGGTATTTTGGGAGAAAAAGCCTCCATTGAATTTATTTTTAATTTTTGACTGTTTCTTGGTCGGTTTACTAAGAGACATTTATTGGCAGCTATTGTAATAAAATTGTATTGCCTGTGGGTTTAATCTGGAATGATTCAAATGAAACATTCAATATGTCCTCCTTTGTCCTCCTTTTTGTCTTTCTATGTCCTCCTTTTAGTACCCGTGTATCTGGCAACCCTAATCGTGCCTGAGAACAACCCTCCCATTTAGTTACAGTTGAAATGGTTGTAATGTATGCTAATAGTTTCATTATTGGATTATTTTTAGTGGTTTACACATTTGTTTTTAAAAAATAATCCTTTTCTCCAGGGAGCAGAAATGTCAGAGTGCAAGAGAGGGGTCTTTAGCCCTCACTGATTAATATGATAAGCACAAAAGGTCTGTAGATCAAATAGATATTAAAACGGACATTTCAATTAGCAGTGTCTTGATGAGGATCTCTATCCACTTACAGGTACACTGAGATTATCAGTTTATTTCATGCAACGCTCCTTGCGGTCCCTAGGTAGGATCAAAGTTTAATAATTAACTGGGTTGGCTTTAAAAGACCAGAGACTATACTTACCAATTCCCTGATTATGCATTTCCATATCTGTAAATTGTGATCCCAGAGAGTTCTTTGACTTTGACCTTCTGTTAGTTTCCTTTTGGAAAACTGTTGTTGCATTAATGACTTCCTGTTACAATAGCTGTAATCGCCATTGTAATAAATAATGTGATACTCTTGCTGAGAGGCCCAGAAATCTTTTTATAATCCATTACATCCACCATGCATATCCATCCGCTAATCAATTTTAGCAGAATTTAAGGCATTTTAAAAAACTACAGTTTCCCCAAAAAGACCTAACCTGAAAATAAGCCCTAGTGTGATTTTTCAGGATCCTTGTAATATAAGCCCTACCCCCAAAATAAGCCCCAGTTAAGTGAAACTCCGCCCTCCACCATCATGCAGCAACCAGAAGAAAATGACATGACTGTATTTGAATAAATCTAGATTGTTGTACGTGAAAAAACATCCCCTGAAAATAAGCCCTAATGCATTTTTGGAGCAAAAATTAATATAAGACCCTATCTTATTTTTGAGGAAACATGGTACATTCTTTTAACTTTCATGCAGGCCTCTGTGGTGCTTCTCTCAAATAATGGCAAATACAAAACAAACAGGTTAGGATCTTTTTCTGAGCAAACCCCTCTAAGCCCACGACTTGGCAACATCTTTTAAAGAGGGTTCAGCAAAAGTTTTCTTTGGATGCTGTAGGATAGTGATTAAAAATGGACATTCTGGGAAGGAAGCTACTAACAATGGTTCCTATCCTTGGGTCCCCAGATGTTCTTGAACTAAAACTCCCAGAAGCCTTCACCACTAGTTCTGCTGGCCAGGATTTTTAGGACTTGCAGTCCAAGAACATCCGGAGATCCAAGGTTGGGAACCACTGCACCAGCAACTCTGATTATAGTACACATTAAAAGCATATGTGAATGAAATGAGGAGCTGGCAACCCCATCTCCTTTTGCTACATTCGACTGCCATGTGTTTGATATGTACAAATAAGGCTCTATACATGTGTACTCATGCAAGAGATTAAAATTGTTCCACATCAGGATATACGCATTTGGCTACAGAGAATATATTGTGGTGATTCATTGGGTGCAAACAGAAAGTTCAAAGATAATTTAAGTCAGAAAAGTTTTTAACATCCCCTCCCGCACAAAAACCCCCAAACCAAGTAATAAAAAAGAGAAGACCAAACCAAACCAGCTATTGCAATAGTTCCTGCACTAGTAAAGGACCAATTGTAACGGCTGTCTGAATTAGATATGGTTCACAAGACTTAATATCAACTAAATTTGACAGTAGGTTTTTTTTCTAGCATGTTTATCATATGTAAATTGCACCTGACTCCGCTGATCTCAAATGGCAAGGGTTAATATTTGTTTAAAATTCATTACTGATAAAAAGAAAAGAGAAGAAAAAGACCAACACTGTTATGAATGGGTGGAGTAGGCTGAATATTCTGATATGAATGTCCATTGCAAATGACTTGAGAAAAGTGTATTACTTCATTACATTAACAGGGAGGGCTCATGGACTAAGGATGGGTGTGTGTGTGTACCTCATTCCAAATTTCAAGAGGCTTCCAGCAAAGTAGAGAAGATGATGCTTATTAAGATACATAGTACATATCCATGTGCCATGTCAAGTTAGACATAATGTAGTCATCTGTCATTGTATCCCTGCATGCAGATGTCATATCTTCAGAGCTATGGGTACTTGTAAGAGGTCTACTATTGCCTATTAATCCAGGACTCATTATTGCCTCCATCTACTTCAGTCCAAAGATGCTACACACCCCCAGAATATGGAAAAGTTGCTTTTTCTGCTGGTGCATGTGGACTTTTTTAGACTGCAATTCCCAGAAGCCCCCATTTCAGCATGGCCTCCGTCACCTCTTCTTCCTCCAATGGATATCTGTTAACATGGCTCTTTTAAAAATATTTTTTATGTTTAATAAGAAGTTGTCTGGCCTTTATCATGTTTCAATTTTTTATTTTATTTCAATTTTTTATTTTATTGAAGGAATTTGCCATGATCATGGCAATGTTTTGTGTTGCAGATTATTTTTGAAAAGCTTTTCAGCCTGTCATTTAAATGAATATAACATTTTGCTTCAGTATAATCAACATCCTTTTGTGACCTACACTATTTCAGGCCAAAATATCTAAGTTCATAAGAAATACTTAGAAAGTAGCTGTCTTCATGATAACACGAGTCTTTCCCAAATACAATTTCACTTAAAATCCTGAATTTCATTCACCAGATTGTGTATCTGATCTAAAAATATGCTGCCAGCCTTTACCCGTCAAGCTCTGGAGATTTGTAAAATATTTATAAGACGCATTATTATCATGCTAAGAACATAAGATGGGCTTTGCTAGATCTGACCAGAGATCCATCTAATCCAGCATTCTATTTCCTGCAGCCACCAGATGCTTCCGGAATGTTCAGCATCAGAACATAAGGGCAGTTTGTCTTCCATACTGTTTCCCCTGGTGCTTAGAAGCAAACTACCTATTTATCTATCAGCATTTATTTAAAGTACTTATATATTGTTTTTCTGCTCACCATGACCATCAAAACCCGTGAACAATAAAATCCTGTAAAATTATGAGAACATAAAAACAATAAGAATGGCAAAACATAATTTTTTTAAATGTCTAAAAGCCAAAAGCTTGCCAGTGTATAAAATTCAGTAGGGGCAGTGCTTGACTTCTTCTGGGAAGGAGAGTCACAGTCCGCACAATAGTTCAGGACTTCCACAACCTCCTTGGCATCAGTTGCAAAATAGAGGAGGAGCCAGTTCTCCCTAGCATAGCGATGAGACTCAGTACCCAGACTTTAGATGACTTCCCTCAGTGGCTTCATGCAATTGTCGAAAACCATACAGAAGAAGAATGAATTCTGAGAAACCTCCTAATCTTATGGCTATAAGGGTAAACGGTAATACTGTAATTTCCTCACAACCACTTTCCAGTAGCGTTCACCCAGGAAGAATCAGAATCACAAGCTCCATGTTAGGCAAACGGTCCAGAAGAATACAATGACTGACGGTATCAAAAGCTTTGGGGAGATTAGGTTAGAATCAGCAGGGACATATTCCCCTGGTCCACCTCTTAGTATAAAAGATCCACAGAGGAGATCAAATTATATCTGCCCTCAGATTTGGGGGAAACTGTTCTTGAAAATTTTCAAGAAGAGCCCCCTATCCCCTATTCCATCCTAATTAGAAAAAAAAGTGATTTAACTTTGCACTCTAAAGCACAGTATGACACCAGGAAGAGTAACAAAGGTTAAGAACCAGTGCTCTAAAGCACAGTATGACACCAGGCTCAGATCACTGTTGTCTGTGGTGCAAGACCCAACATCCAAATGCTTCTTTTCAGTGCTAGTAGCAGATGGTGCTTACAGCAAGATTATTTAGCCGTTGTTATGTGCTGCTGAACAACTTCTGATTTATAGGGACCCTATGATATAGTGACCTCCAAAAGGTCCTGTGATAACAGCCTTGCTCAGGTTTTGCAAACGGAAAGTTATTGCCTTTATTTAGTCACTTTCTTTCATGTTAGGATTTCCTCTGTTCCTACTGTTCCGCCTTTTCTAGCATTTTCCTAACAAGGCGTGTCTTTTCATAGTTTGTTGACAGTTATCTCTCCAGTTTAGTCATTTTCGCTTTTAGAGAAAGTTCAGACATAATTTGATATAACATCCATTATTTTTTAATGAGAGGTGCACACAAATTTCCTCTTATAATCTAATCTAAAGTGATGCTGTCCAAGAAAAATGTGACTCCTTCGTTCTGCTGAAAAAAAAACCTCAGCTAATGCTTAGATTTAATGGCTGACATTTGATAGGAAGAAGATATGCCACTGGAATGGAACAAGGAAGTGAGCAAGCTGTTTTTATGTGAGACAGGAATGCACTGTCGAGAATCCAGTTTCCATCTCATGTGCAGAGATTTAAATCCCATGTTAAACTGTTTCAAGGTTTTATGCCCACTCTTCCAGTTAAGCCTACTCCCCTCAAATTAAATCTATTTAATGAATTAGTTCTATTGCTGCAAACTTCCTTCCTTCCTTTTTTGCAGAATCCCAG